GCAGCCCCTTCAGCCCCCCAGCCCCGCGCCTTCCCGTCCCACACGCTGCCGCTCCCCACCGTGCTGACACCCCCAGCTCAAAACGCATCTGCCAGGACACGCAGATGGGCTGCAACGGCCGAGGGACCCGTCTGAGCATTAGGGGTTTCGGGAACAGAGTCATGTACGGCCAATGCTCCGTTTCCCACAGCCACACAAATCCCAACCGGGCTTTAACACATCAAAATCCCGCAGCTCTGCCCGGGAGCCACATCCAGCTGTTTTCCAGCCTTCGAGCCCCGGCATCGCTGCCCTCCCGCCAGCACCAGGAACCGGGGCGGGAACCGGGGGCCCATCCCCTTCACGAGTGACCCCCTCTGCTCGCGACCGCGACATCCCGAGCGGTAGCAGCTTTACGAGTCCCACGGCATGTTGCTGGCAGGTTGTGTTACCTGGCAACCTGCAGTGGGGAGAGGAGGGAAACGCTCAACCAGCGGCACCTGCAACGCTCCAAACTGGGGTGTGGGTCCCCCCAAATGCCCCCAGAGCAGCAGCATGGCCACTGCTTGCCCAGCTTCTGGCATGGGGCCCTGCAGACGCCTCTGCCGCTCGCTCCTGCCCCACCATGGCCACAGGCCTCATGGTTTCAGGGCTTTCTGCCCTCCACTCCATGGTCTCGGGTTCCTGCATCTTCTTGCCAAGGCTCTCAGGCAGCTGCAGGACATCTCCCCGTTGACCATGTGGCAGCTGCCCCAGTTATTGATGTCCCGTTGGGGACTTCCATGAGGCTGGAGGTCCTGATGTCTCCAAACCACTCCTTCCTAAGCAGAAGAGAAGCTGCAAGGCTGGGAGGTGCTCGGGACGAGTGGAGCTTCACTTGCAAACCTCCTCTGGAGCTGGGGAGAGAGCCCCAGGCAGGAACTGGGGCACTGTTCCCTCCCTGGTCCAAAGCTGAGCCGGGCTCATCGTACCCTGCACAGACTTGCATAGTAGCTCTATGCTTGGCCATCGCATCCCATGGGGACCGGGTCCTTGGTGCCCCAGGCATGCCATGTGAGCAGCCCGTGGGCTGCCTTGCACCCTGGGGCTGTGGGTCCCTGCAGCCCCTGTGCTCATCGTCCCCCTCCGAGCGCTACCACCCTCCTCAGCCCGCCGGGCAGGCTGTGCTGGGGGTGGGAGACAGCAGCTTCAGCACATGCAGCCTGCGGGGAGGGAAGGACGCGAGCCAGCCTGTCCCTGGGGCAGCCAGAGCAGAGCCGGGGGTGGACTGGCCCCCAGGGAGCACGGACGGGCAGCGGTGGTGGAGGAGGCTGAGCTCCGCTGTGGGAGATGCTCTTTGAGGTGGAGGTGCCCTTTGCTCCTGCCAAAGCCGCTGCTCTCTGCCGGCTCGCCAGGCGAGCTCTGTGCGGTGGGGATGGTGGGCAGCGATCGCGGGCAGCCCTGGGCGCTCTACCCCTGCGCCGTGCCCTCAGCCAGCTACAAACCAGGACCCTGGTTGTGCTTCTGAGGCAGGCGGATGCTGTGGCTTGCAGAGGCGAGGGAGCCATTCGGCATGGATGGGCTGACCGGGGAGAAGTGGGCTCAGAGAAGGGTGTGCAGAAGGGAGAAGTCAGACAGAAGTCCTTTTCCTGCATCGCTGCGACAGGGAAGAGGCAAACCTGGGGGCAAGTGAGTCTCTTGGCCACGGCTGGGGTGCAGAAGGGCGGACAGGCACCGCCGGCTCCTTCCCTTGACCCACAGGCTCCATCGGACACCCACTTTCCCCCCAACTCTTCCATGGCACGCTTGCCAATTCTCCTCACCCCTTCCCTTCCCTTCCCACCCTGCCTGCGCCCAGAGCGCACCGCTGCATGGCCGGGGCACACGGCTGTCCTGCCTGCGCTCTGCGTGCCATGTCCTGCCCTGCCTACACTCTGGGTGCCATCCCCTGCCCTGTCTACGCTCCGGGTGCCATCTCCTGCCCTGCCTACG